AATTCGAGGAGGAAGGGTGAGGACGGATGGAATCTGGATAAGTTGGGCTAAGGTATCTAGTAGGGTTTTGAAGTTTAAAATTTTTGTGGGTAAGCGATTTATGAGGTAAGCAGCTGTGGCAATGGCTTCTGGCCATAGGTTTCTTGGTACATAAGATTCTATCATTTGGGCTCGGTCATTTCCAAAAGGATCCTATTTTTCCTCTCAGCCACCCCATTTTGTTGTGGAGTGTAAGGATAGGTTGTTTGGTGAATGAGACCATGGGTGCTAAAAAATTCCTGCATATTATGGTTAATGTATTCCCCTCCATTATCCGTAGTATCTTAATTTGTTTCTTGGTACTGTGCGTTTGAACCAAGGTTATAAAACATAGCAAATTTTACAGAAAACCTCTGGATTTATTTTCAAGAAATAAACCGAAGTAATTCTAGTGCAATCAATCATAAATAGAAGGAAAATATAGAAACCAAGAAGGAAATATAGAAAACCATTGTTACTAGGTATGGGTGCAGGACCCCAGACATCAGAATGTATAAGTGCAAAGGGCATATCAGTTCTAGTATTGTTCTGGGGAAAAACTTGTCAATGGCTTTTGGCTAGGATACAAGTCTCACAAGACACATGATTATTGTTCTTAAAAAACTTACGAAATAAAATTCTAAGGTACCCTGTAGATGGATGTCCAAGTCGTCGGTGCCATAACCAAACTTGCCGATCCACAGTCCCGTGAGCCAGCATTATGGTACCTTTTTTGTCCACCTTGTCCACGTAGTACAGACCTCCGTGTTCAGTGCCACGCCCAATAATCCTCCCTGTCTAGATATCCTGCAGAATACAAAAGGTTGGGTGTATCAGTATCGAACAATTTAGCTCTTTAGTAACATGACTTACTGATAAGAGTTTATGAGATAAACTAGGCACATATATGCAATTAGAAACTCTAAGGTTTGGAGAGATTTCAATTTCTCCTGCCCCTTCAACAGATGAGTAACCCCCATTCGCAGTCCGAATACAAGTTTTCCGAGGAGTTGTCTTAGATTTAAAGTCCAATGGATCATAAGACATTGTATTCGTAGCCCCACAATCTAAAAGTTGTTCTCTTTCAACATTTTTACTTTCTAAAGGATCATCTCTACTTCTTGTAAACAAAGCAGGCACTAAATTGCAATTTTCAACAAATTCAGGTCCTCTTTCATCAATTTCAAACAAATTCAGGTCCTCTTTCATCAATTTCAGAAGTTCCAGGGGCACAATTATAATTTTCAGAAAAATCATGATTAAATGAGGTAAAATTAGAAGAGCAGGGATTTAAGAGAAATTTTCCCTCAAACCCTATACCTCCTTTGTTATAGTTCTGCGATTCATCCCCTCCTCCAACTGAAACATTGGCCGCCGAAACTCCTCTCGTAATCTGTTCCTCTCCGGTGCTGGTAGAGATTTTGTTGCCCACCGTGGCCACCGCAGCTCTTCCCTTGGCTCCCTTCCTTCTATTTTCTGTCCACCAATCGGGGTAACCAATTATCTTAAAGCAACCTTCTTTCGTATGCCATGTTCCCCCACAATGGCTGCACTTGAGTTTCGATTAATCCACCTCCTCGCTCCGGGATGATGATTTAGCCACAGTCTAGGCAAGATCTGACCGGGATTTGGCTACAAGGCCTTGACCGATTTATGAGATTTCTGGGTTTACCTATTCATCTTTCTCTCGTCCCAGTATGCCTCGCCTCGCAGCCTCTCTTCTGATCATAGCATACGCCCTTTCAACTGATGGGAGAGGGTCTTGCTTAAGGATGTCCCGCCGTTCGGTTTCAAACCGGTCATGTATTCCGGCGAGAAACTGGAAAAGTTTCGTTTCTTATTGAATCCGATTGAAGACTTCAATATCTTCCTGGTGCTTCATCGGATTGGGCATCCGGATTGGGCATGATTGGGCATCCGGCGGTCAATCTCTTTCCAAATCGCTTGTAAGTTTCCAAAAAACTTTTCAATGGTCATATTCCCTTGCTTGAGATTATTAGCTTTAACAGTTAAATTGAAAATCTGCAGGGAATCACTGCCTGTTTGGAATGTTGTGGCGAGACACTCCCACAGTTCTTTGGCGGTTGCATGTTGAACATATTGGACCGCTAACTCTGCTTCCATATTTTCTATTATCCATGAAAAAACAATCGAATCTGATTGTTTCCATTTGATGTAGGTTCCATCAGATGAAGGTGGAGGAGAGGCTCCTAGTATATGGTCGAGTTTTCCTCTTCCGCTGATTGCGATCTCCATTAATCGAGACCAGAGGGTGTAATTAAATTCATTGAGCTTGACTTCTGAGCTTGACTGTTAAGATTAACAGCTTCGTTGTTGGAGGTTTTCTATTTGGCTTCGGTTTGTCTGCGTTAAGTTTTGGAGAATCTCGCCAGCCAGTTGACAGCGACAGCCCCCCGCCCCGCAAACATCCATGTCTTCGTGGTTTCAGTTGCCCCCTGTTGAAGCTGAGCTCCTCGGATTGGACACTCATAGCGCTTTCCAGGTAAGTGTGGATTAAGGTAGATGATGAAGCTCAGATAAGACCACGATTCATTGTGATTGACACAGGCTCTTGATACTCCATGTTTTGTTTGAATAAATAGATTCTTATTCCTCTTATTTCTGTCATTGTTTCTTAAGTACAAAAAACTTAAAACTTTTCCTAATTAGTCTAATTACAATAGTTGCAATCCCTTGATTGTAGGGATTCTTGATGCTGAATAGAAACTTTCCTTTCCAGGTTAGTTTCCTTTTTCTATTTTCCAATAAATTGGATGAGAGTCTCCAACCTCAGTATACAAGTTAGAGAAAAAATCCACAGGCATCCTATAAAGCTCTTGATTATCTTCCACCCATTAGCCACTATCATTCTTAAGAGCTAAAATACGATTTTTATTTCTACGATGAATAGTTCTAAGATGGAAAAAATGGTATTATGATCTCCACAAAGGATCCATTTTGCTCTAGATTTTTGAAACCATATCATCTCCTCCCTAGCTATAATTACCTCTACTTCCCTTTTAAGGGTAATCTCGAGATTAGACAAATATGGGTTATTAGATCATTCAAGTTGCTGCTAGATTCCTTCTATTATGGCAATAAGTCTTCTTTTTTTTTTTTTTTTTGGACCTTTTTTTTTTTTTTTTTTGGAAGAAACTTTCTAAAATTTTTTTTTTTTTTTTTTGGAAGAACACTTTGCTAAAAACATTTTTATTCTAGGTAGCCAGCTTAGTAGAAAAAACCTCCATAGCCTCATTAATATAAGCATAAGACTTCCATGAAGTGGACACAAAATCGTTAAAAGTTTCATGGGTAAGCCAAGCCGCTAAGAAACGAAAAGGAGGACCACTGGAAGTAAAATTGGTATTACCAAAAGTATTTACCAATAAGGGTCTATGATCAGATCCTAATCTGGTAAGATGTCGCACCGAGTCAACTGGAAACTGAAGACTCCAAAAATCATTGCAAAGAGCCCTATTGAGTCTTTCCATGAGATTGCCTTTCCTCCAGGTAAACCGAGCTCCTGTAAAACCAAGATAAAAAAGTTTACTGTTAGTGAACCACAGAGCAAATTTTTTTCAATACTTGACTGATTGTGGGATCCACCAAACCTTTCTTCTTTACTAAGAATGGCATTAAAATTGTTAAGGAGGATCCAAGGATTAGACATATTCAATGCAATAAAATCAAGATCATCCCAAAGAGAATATTTGTTAAAAGGTTGTAGGCTGGCATAAATGGCTATGGCCTCCATTAACACCTTGCCTTTATGGCTAATACCCAAGTGAATCCATTGGCAGTTATTACTTAAGACCTGAACATCCCACACATTGTTCCAACAAACCCAAATACCTCCTGTATAGCCCATAGCATCTACACTGTGAGAGTTATTAAAGCTGATATACCTAATAACTTGATCAGCTCTGTGCCTGCTAATTCTTGGTTTTAAGAGGATGAGAATATTGGGTTTATGCTTGTCTAAATTTAGATTAAGATACCTCATGAAGGAGGAGCTACCAGCTCCTTAACAGTTCCAAGAGATGATAGACATGGATAAAAGCAAAAAATTAAAAGTTAAAAACCAATTAAACTTAGAATCCATAAGGTTACTCTATAAGATACGGGTCGCTTGTCCCCTTCTAAAAGAGGACATCATCGTCTTCTTCCTCATGCAAGGTAATTCATCATCTTCCATATTATCTTCCTTCTCATTATCAAGAGCGTCTTGAAAAAGCTCGTCCCTTATAATGGTTGTTCTTTATAATTGATGCTCCTAAGAAAGGGAAAAAGGAGTTATATTAGTATTAATATTAATATCAGAGTGCCTACTGTTAAATGGTATTATTTGAGACATAATCTGGAAGAATTGTGTTCATCTTTTATTCAGCTGCTTTACAATGTCTTAATATAGCTAAGGCATAGGTTTATACAAGGAAAGAAATAAATAGTAAAGAGAGGAATTATTCTCCTCCTATAATTATTCCCTAATTATGTACACTAATTGGGAAATGATGAGAATGCTTTCTAACACTCCCCCTCAAGTTCAGTAGTGGGATTGCCAATGCTCAACTTGCCCAAAACTTCACTGAAGGTCCTTCCATTCACTGCCTTTGTTAATATATCTGCTAGTTGATCTTCAGAGCGTACGAAAGGTTGTTCTACAATACCCGCTTCTAACTTCTCTTTAACTTGCCCAAAACTTCACTGAAGGTCCTTCCATTCACTGCCTTTGTTAATATATCTGCTAGTTGATCTTCAGAGCGTACGAAAGGTTGTTCTACAATACCCGCTTCTAACTTCTCTTTAATGAAGTGTCTATCAACTTCTACGTGTTTTATCCGATCATGTTGTACAGGATTTTCTGAGAGACTAATTGCTGCCTGGTTATAACACATTATCTTGCAAGTCTCAGATGGTGGAAACCCAATTTCAGTTAGCAACTTTCGTAACCACAGTATTTCTACCAAGCCTCATGCAACCCCTTAAAATTCAGCCTCTGCACTGGACAATGCTACAACCTTTTGCTTCTTGCTTTTCCATGTAACTAAGTTACCCCCCACAAGAGTAAAATAGCCTGATGTAGATCTACGGTCCACTAGATTGCCTACCCAGTTGGCGTCAGTATACCCCTTTATTTCTAGGTGTCCATGTGCTTTGAATAGAACAACATGTCCAGATGTCCCCTTTAGATACCTTATGATCCTCCACACAGCCTCCATATGGTCTGTATGAGGCTGATGCATAAAGTGGCTCACTACTCCGACTGCATAGGCTATATCTGGCCGAGTATGTGAGAGATATATCAGTTTTCCAACCAACCTTTGATACCTTTCTTTATCTGCTAGTTCTGCTCCTTCCATTATCTTCAGTCCATGATTCACCACCATTGGTGTTGGCCGATTTACAATCGATCATTCCCGTCTCTGCCAAAAGATCCAAAATGTACTTCTTCTGACATATAAAAATCCCTTGTTTCGATCTTAATACCGCAATTCCAAGAAAATACTTCAGCCTTCCCAGATCTTTCATTTCAAATTCTGTGAATAGGTTCTCCCTTAGCTTGGTCATTTCTTCCATGTCATCTCCTATAATGATCATGTCATTGATATAAATGATCAAACAAGTTACAAGTCTGCCTCTCTGCTTCAGGAACAGAGTATGATTGGAATTGCTCTGTTTGAACCCGTATCCCTTCCTTATTAGTGTAAACTTACCAAACTAGGCTCTGGACGACTGCTTGAGTCCATAAAGTGACTTCTTCAACCAGCACACTTCTCCTTTCTGGAATCCCTTTGTGAAACCTAGTGGAGCCTCCATATAGACTTCCTCTTTCAGATCCCCATGTAGGAAATCATTCTTCACATCAAACTGGTGAAGTGGCCACCCCTTGTTTGCTGCTACTGAGAACAATACCCTAATAGTATCAATTTTTGCTACCGGCGAAAAAGCCTTCGAGTAATTGATGCCATAAGTCTGGGTGTATCCTTTTGCCACTAACCGTGCCTTGTACCATTCAATGGAAACATCTGGCTTGTGTTTCACCGTGAAGACCCAGCGACACCCAACTAGTTTCTTTCCTCTCGGTAAGGCACATTTCTCCTATGTGTGGTTCTGGATCAAAGCATTCATTTCTTCCTTGATTGCATTGGTCCATTTTTCTGATGCCAAGGCATGTTCGACTGTGGTCGGGATCTTTTCTTCACACAGGGCTGAGATGAATGCCTTGGCTTCTCTAGATAGACTCCTCATGGCTATGTTTGCTACTGGATATCTGGACCTCAAAGCCTCTTTTTCTGGAGAGTATCTGTTAGGTGGGACTCCCTTATTGCCTCTGGGTGGTAATACATATCGTTCCTCCTGCTCTGCCAGCTATTCTGTTACAGTCTCATAGTCACCGGGATTAGTGAAAATAACAGGAGATTCAGGAGCTTCAGTTTCTCTTACCTTGAACGCCAGGTTAGGAATAGTATTTTCTTAGACACTAGGCTCCGTAGACTATATGGAAGCATCAGAAGTTGGCCCAACAGTACTGTTCTCTTCCTATTCTGCTACTTTCATTTGTGGGTTCTCTTCTTGAAGACCCAATTTCACCTGTGGCAACACTAGTTCGGGAATCCAACTCAGTGTGTCCATATATTCCTTCTCCCCCTAACCACTAGGTTGGGTAGTATAAAAGTATTCGGTTTCAAGGAAATCACAGTTCATTGTGGTGAACATATGACAGGTTTTAGGATTATAGCATCGGTACCCCCTTTTGATTAACCCTGTACCCAACAAATACACATTTTTCTGCACATGGGTCAAATTTGGTTCTTTCCGTTTTCAGAATGTGGACAAATACAGAGCAACCAAAAATTCGTGGTTGAAGAATTAAGGTCGGGGTATTTTGGTAAATTTGGCTAGGATTTGGATTGGAGTTTGAAGGTCAAGGATTTTGGTTGGGAGTCTATTTAGAAGGTAGGTGGCAGTGGCTAGAGCTTCAGGCTAAAAACTTTTGGGGACCCGAGACTCAATAAGAAGAGCTCAGGTCATTTCAAGGAGGATCCTATTTTTCCGTTCGGCAACACCATTTTGTTCGGGAGTATGAGGACAAGTGGTTTGGTGTACTAACCCTTTTTGTTGAAAAAATTGTTTCATGGTTGTGTTAACAAATTCTCCCCCGTTGTCGAATTTTAAAATTTAAATTGACTTATTGAATTGGGTTTGGATCATGGTATAAAATAGGATAAATTCATCAACAACTTTTGACTTGTTTTTCAAAAAATATACCCACGTCATGCGAGTACAGTCATCCACAAATATCAAGAAATAGTGAAAACCTTGCCCTCCCATGACAGTGCTGGACCCCACACATCAGAATGGACTACTGAAAAAGGTAAATCAACCCTGGTATTATTTGGCCTGAAAGTCTGTCTGTGGCTTTTCGCCAAAACACAAGTCTTACAATGTAATACATTATTGGATTTAAAGAGTTTAGGAAATAAAAGATGTAAATAACCAGTGGATGGATGTCCTAATCTCCGGTGCCAAAGCCAAGCTTTTTAGGAAATAAAAGATGTTAAATAACCAGTGGATGGATGGTCCTAATCTCCGGTGCAAAGCCAAGCTTCTCGATCCGCAATTCCATATGGCTTTTGCATCACCAGGTACCGTGCTTGGGCACTACAATGTAATACATTATTGGATTTAAAGAGTTTAGGAAATAAAAGATGTAAATAACCAGTGGATGGATGTCCTAATCTCCGGTGCCAAAGCCAAGCTTCTCGATCCGCAATTCCATATGCTAGCATCACAGTACCGTGTTGGGCAACTTCATCCACGTAGTAAAGTCCTTGGCGCTCAGTGCCACGTCCAAAAATCGTTCCCATCTTGATGTCCTGCAGTATACAGAAAGTTGGGGTCATTAGCACGGTACAATTAAGTTCCTTTGTTACATGAATAATAGACAACAATTTATATGAAAGTGAAGGGACATAAAGACAGTTCGACAATTTTAGTGTGGGTGATATTTCAATAGACCCGACTCCCTCTACAGGGACTATTCCCCCATTGGCTGCTCCAAAATGTGTCTTTGTGGGTTTTGACTGTATTTTAATATCGTGTGCATCAAATGTCATGGTGTCAGTGGCACCACTATCAAAAATCCATAAGGCATTCTTATTGTTATCAATTTTAGACCATATTAGCAATAGACAAAATTTTTATTGGGTCAATTTGTAATATGTCCAAAAAAGAGGAGCCTGATAATAAATTGTCCAAATTGGAAGGGTTTAGGAGGAAATCCCAAACCCTTTACCTTTATAACCTATATTACCCCTTTCTTCAGCCCTAGCTGCCATTGCTCCTCCAATACTGCCTCCATCTCCGATGCCTCCTGGCCACCACCGTTGCTGCTGGTAGCCTCAAGGTTGCTCACAGCGGTGGCGGCTTTACCTCTTATGGCTTGTCTGTCCCTTTTATGTCCATCGTTCCACCATTCTGGATATCCCACAATCCGGAAACAGTTCTCTTTCGTGTGTTTACTCATCCCACAGTGAGTACACTTGAGTTTTGCCTTATCTGAACGGGATGATGATCCGCCTGGCTTGCCGGCGAAGCCTGACCATCGCTGTCCTTATGCTGCCATTCCCATGGCTTCAGTCCCAGTTACAATCAATCCACTGCCTATGCCCTATTATGACGAGATTTCAGAAGCTAGTCCCAAAATATTAAGGCGGGCAGCCTCTTTCCGAACAGTGGGATAGGCGGCTTCCGATGAGGGTAGCGGATCTTGTCTTAAGATCTCTCTTTTGATTTGATTATATTCCTAATCGATTGCAATCAGGAACTGGAGCAGCTTTTGTTCTTGACGGATTTTATTGTATGTGGCTATGTCTGCTTCTAAGGTCATCGGATTTGGTTCCCGGCGGTCAATCTCGCCCCACACTCCTTGCATGGTAATCCAAAAATATTCTAAAGGTGCTCCATTTTGCTTCATACCATTTACTTTGAATGAAGATCAAAGGTTTATAGTTTGTCCCTGCCATTACTATATGTTGTAACAAGAGCATTCCACAATGCTTTCGCTATGGGAAATTCGATCAGATTGCTTACCAATTGGGGTTCAATATTTTGAATTAACCATGAGAACACGATGAGATCGTCTTGTTCCCATTTCTCGTATTTTTTGTCACCGATCTGTGGTGGCGCTGGAATTTCAGTGAGGTGGCTCAACAGGGCCTTTGATTTTCCTCCAATTGCAACCTTAATCATGCTTGCCCATAACGAATAATTTTGGCTGTTTAATTTGATGCTGATGATTAAATTATCAGAAAGGGTTTGTTTTTGGTTTTGGTTACTAAGGCCATTTTTTATAAGATTTGCTAATTGAATTGTCAGGTCATCGTTGCTAATGCCAGACTGTTTCCCTGAGTTGCCGTCTTCGAACATAGTAGCTAGAGTCTTCTGGGTTGGTAAACTTATGGCTGATGAGGAGTTGCCGTCTTCGGACATGGTAGTCGGATTTCTGTTGGTAAGTTGGTAAATGATGAGCAATTGAAACAGTTTGGTCTTAGAACCATTGAACCAGCTTTGATACCATGTTAAATGGTATTATTTGAGACATAATCTGGAAGAATTGTGTTGATCTTTTATTCTACTGCTTTACAATGTCTTAATATAGTTAAGGCACAGATTTATACAAGGAAAGAAATAAATAGTAAAGAGAGGACTCCTTCTATAGTTATTCCCTAATTATGTACACTAATTGGGAAATGATGAGAAAATATGATCCCACATTTTCCTCCTATTTCCTTGCTTTCTGACACTTACCACTAAAAACATTACTCTCAAAATCTGAAAAGAAAGGTTCATGCTGGAAATTGGATCTTTTGGAAGTAATTCTGTCCAATTGATTCTTTGGTACATTCATCACCTAAACCACAAAATGAGTACGTGGGTCCAAATTGGTATCCATTTGGATAATGGACTTACTTGTATTGGATTTTTCTTTAAAAGAAAAAAATTCGCCCAGAGTTGGTTTGTTGGGCATAGCTCCATTAGGAATATGTCATGCCCGACTCCAACCACTGAGAGGAATTGTCCGCTTTGGATCAAGTCAAATCCATCCCATTCTGGATTAGCAGGATCCGCACGGTTTTGTCTCGCAGGTGAGATGGGAAACTTCCCAGGTAGTCACCTATCTTAGGATTTTCGTTAAGCGAGCACGCATAACCCTGGAGTTCTTCCAACTCTCAAGCCATTCCACTAAAAGGAGCCTCTATTGATTAGTTTTCCCTTTTCGATATATGATCTAATTCATTCATGTGTCCTACAGTCGGGATATCACAAGCCCACTTGCTTTCGCGTGGTTTATCCTCGAACCATACATCTATTGGAGGGGATCCGACTCTGATACCAGCTGTCATGCTCGACTCCAACCACTAGAGGAATTGTCCGATTTGGATCAAGCTAAATCCATCCCATACTGGATTGGCAGGATCCACACGGTTTTATCCTGCAGGTGAAATGGGAAACTTCCCAGGTGGTCACCCATCTTAGGATTTCTGTGAGGAATTGTCCGATTTTGGATCAAGCTAAATCCATCCCATACTGGTAATGCAGGATCACCCAACGTTTTCCTGCCAGCGTGAAAATGGGAAACCCTTCCCCAAAGGTGTCCAAATCTTAGGATTTCTGTTAAGCCCCAAGCCCACGCATAACCCTGGAGTTCTTTCAACTCTGCAAGTCATTTCCACCCAACCCATACTGGATTGGCAGGATCCACACGGTTTTATCCTGCAGGTGAAATGGGAAACTTCCCAGGTGGTCACCCATCTTAGGATTTCTGTTAAGCAAGCACGCATAACCCTGGAGTTCTTTCAACTCTGCAAGTCATTCCACCAAAAGGCACCTCTATTGATTAGTTTTCCCTTTTTTGATATATGATTCGATTTATTCTTGTGTCCCGTAGTCGGGATATCACCGGAAAGCGGATAATTTCTCTGGTGATTGGACTCGGGGATGACAGTGGCTCCGAAATTTGATGATGATAGGCCTCTATTGGACTTCAAGTCTTTATTGTTGGCCTGTTTATTTTCATGGATGATTTTATTCTTTCCTTCAGCCCCTGCACGATGCTGATTAACAGTATCCTTAGTCTTCTCTTTTTTACCATTACCCTCATAAATATTGATATTGTTTCCTTCTACAATACTACCTCCTCCAAGAATATCATATCTGTTTGTCCCCTTTCCATACCAAGAAGCAATCCCTTGATTTTCTCCAATAAGTCTTTGGCCACATCTTCCTCTCTGGTTTACCACCATCCACGGTACGAATTTCGACGGCGACACGGTGATCTCCATCTCCTAACCTTTTTGAGTCTCCCTAGAGGCTGTATTTGTGGCACTTTGTAAGAGCAATTGCTTTCTCTATGCCCAACACGCCCATAGTGAAAGCAAAATTTCAGAATACTCTCATATTCCACTGTATGGGTTCTACCGTTAATAAGAAATTTGGAGACAAGGGGTGATTTCATCTTCGCCATTACCGTTGGTCTCGCAAATTTCCCTCTGAGCAAGTCTTCAGTGTTGTAATCTACCTTGATAACCCTACCCACAACATCACCAATAGCTATAAGAACTTTTTTATGATATAGATGTAGGGGAACACCAAGTAATCTGATCAATACTACAGCTCGACCCAAGGAGAAGTTCTGGATATTAAATTCAGGGCTCCATGGTTGCATAACTAAATAGCTTCTTGACATTGTCCAAGGACCATCAAGAATGGCCTTTTGAAAATCATCTTCGAAATCAAACTTTACGAGGAAAAATTCGTTCCCTAAATCTAGAACATGTTAAGGTTTGGGTTTTCACAGAGTATCAATTTTTGAACATAAGGCCTTATAGCCAATACTCCTCCCCCATAAATGGACGATAGCTGATCTGGATCATTTCTGCGCTAAGTTTGTTTGCAAACTTTCAAAGATAACTACTTCTGGTACCTTCCCTAATCTATCTATTTGAATATCGTTAGCTGAAAATTCAAAGTTGGCATCCTCTACTGGATCATCTTCCATATCCATCTCCATTCCCTGAACAACTTTGTCTCTGAAGGAGTGACTGAAGCCATTAGCAAGAATAGATTCGTTGTCATCACTGATCTCAACACCTTTTTCACGATGTTTTACTTTTTTTTTTTTTTAGCACGGTCCTCTTCTGCAGCGTTTTCATTTTGGTTCACATTCAGAGAATTTCCTCTCTGCCATCTAATATCTTTCTTTCTTTAACACATTGTAATCATGTAGTATTTTTTTTTTTTAATAAAACTCAATTTTGTAATTTTTGCTTTTCTAAAATATATTGTCTTCATTATTCTTAAAAATTTTTAATTAAAAGTAAATATTCATTAAAAATATAGAAAAAAAAGAAAAGTAAAATAATTTTTCACATAAGTGAATCTTATTTTCCTTTAATATATACTAACACAAGCGAAGTAAGAAAAGTAGTAAAAAAATAAATAAAATAAATAAAAAGAAAAAAAACGCTATAAACACAGCACAAATCAATGTCCTTACCCTAATTTATAATATGACAAAGGCAAAATAAGAAAAGTAAAAAAAAAAACTCAAACTAAGTAAAAAAAAATAAACTCTCCATCTTTCCTATTCAGTCTTTGTCTCTTCATCTCTCTCTAGATCTCAGTTTCCTCTCCGATCGGTGGCCAACACAGATGCCTTATCCCATCTGGTCACCGTTTCTGACCTCTTCACTATGCGGTAACGCCGCTTTGATCGATTCTTGCCTATTTCTTACTCGACAAAGAAGAGAGATCTTCGGCCACTTTCTCCCTGATTCCAAGTCGACGAAACTTTGTCAACCATCAATCGTCTACAAACTTGTCTCTCTCCCCTCTCATGTCATATCTGTATTTTTTTTTTTCAATTACCTCTTTTGTTTGTTAAAAATGATCTATTACCATATATTTCTATTTGTTTTTTTTTTTATATTGAAAACTTTGGTAGTTTGATTTTGCAAATTTTTTTACTAAAAACTTTTTTATTTTAGATTGTGAAATTTTGAATGAGAAAAGAAAGTTTTTGGAATCAATTTAGAGTGAATAGTGGGTTTGGTTATTTTTGTAATTCCTTACAAACAGTTAAATATTCACTCCATCATCGTCACTTTCTCTCCAATTTTGGGAGATTGAGAAACGGCGGGCCCAGAAGAAAAATATTCAAAATTTTCTTTCCTCTCAAAATTTCCACCCTTGTCCCAAGTAACGGAATGTGAGCTTCCCAATACATTTTCCACTCAGATTTTCTTTCCTTCCACAGAATCACCCTTCCCAATATATCAAAGGGAAATAAGTTTCACTTGCGTGAAAAATTATTTTACTTTTCTTCTTTTTTTTCTATATTTTTAATGAATATTTACTTTTAATTAAAACTTTTTCAGAATAATTAAGACAATATATTTTAGAAAAGCAAAAATTATAAAATTGAGTTTTATTAAAAAAAATACTACTAAATTTTACATATAATCAATTTTCTTATATATATATAAAAGGTAAAATTTTAAATTTATAAAAATAACATTTTCATTTCTCCCTTATTTCCTTCCAATCCAATCATTTGGTGGAAAATGAGGATGAAAAATGAATAGTAACAATCTTTTCTACTTTTTCATCCTCCCTTTTCCAAATATAGCATTAAAGATATCAATCTTCAAATAGACTAAGCTTCAACAACATTATTATAGTCTAAGGACAAAAAGCATCTAAATCAATTTATAATATACTTAGTCAATTAATCCAAGTTCTTCTTTTTTTTTTGAAAGAGAGAGTCCAAGTTCTTCTAATAAGTTACCAATATTGAAATTTGAAACCATTTTTATGAGAAATTTAGACCCACCAAATGAAATAAATTTAAATTAGCAGCTTGCTTCTTTTTTTTTTTATTTTTTTTGTCCCACGTCGGTAACTCCTAAACCAATGCAATTATGTTTTCCATCTCTAATTAAACAGAAAATGTGAAGGAATTAACAGCTACAAAAAAGCAAGCTGATTTAACTTTATTTCATTGAGTAGGTCTATAGATAATGTGATAGACTGAGCCTACCTAATAATTTCTCTATTTTTACCCACTAAAAAGTATTAACATGATTCTTTGTAATAAAGTCAAGAGGAGCAAAAAAGGGAAGACATCTTTTAATCAAAGATTAGAAAACAAAGAAAAACATAGTAGGGAAAAAAGAAAAGAAAGGCTAGGCAAAAATCTGTTTATCTTACTCTTTTTTTTCTCTGCTTGACAAGTCTCCATCTCCTCATGAGTTTTTAGTATGAGAGATTACAAAATAGAATGCATTAATCAAACAACAAAGGGTAAGAGTTGAAATTTAAGACAATTGTTATTCTTCTCCTCTTTGACTATTTCCACTCGAATTTGGCCGCCTTACGAATCGCCCCTATGATGTTTACAAACAATATAAATTAGACTAATTTTGATATAAATGAATTTAAAATATGCAATTCATTTGTAAATGAATTCTAGAATAAATTTTCATGGTTGGTATAATTAATTTAAAACATATAATTCAACGGAAGACTACATAGTTATATATGGAATAAATTCATAATTAAAATTCATTTGAATTTGTTTCCTAAAATATCCTTGAAATAATAATTTCACAAAAATAAATAATAAATATCAATTATATTTATGTTATACTATATAATTTTTTATATTTTTATTCATTTGAATTTGTTTCCTAAAATCTCCTTAATAATAATCAACCAAAAATAAATTAATAAAATATCAATATATGTTATGTTATACTATATAATTTTTATATTTTTAATTTTAAGTTATAAAATTATATTATATATATATATATTATAATAGTAATTAAAAATTATTGCCATTTAATTTAAGATAAATGCTATTTAACTTGAATCTCCTCCACTTTGTTAAAAAAAAAAAAAAAACTTAAATATCTCTCCTCAATTGTTAAAAAAAAAAAAAAAAACTTAAATATCTCTCCTCAATTGTAAAAAAATGCTAAAACTATTAAAATAAAAGATAAGAATATTAAAATAAAAAATAAAATAACAAGAAAATATTTTTCTAAAAAAATAAATTTTTAAATGATTTAAGTCAAATTCAATAAAATAAATATGTTAAATAAGTAAAAATTGAAAAATTGACTATATACAAAGAGAAAGGTAGTTTTGTCTTTAAAAGTTGAATTGCTTAAATTTGTAGAATTCATTTAGAAATTTCACCTATTTTTGTAGAATTTGGATAATTATGTTCAATTCCATAGAATTGAATCCCTAAAATTGAAATTTGTGTTTTCTTTCATTCCAAACATAAAAAATATGGATTTCTAAATAAATTTGATAAAATTTTATGAAATTCATTTGTTGTAAATAAGGGGTAAATAAATTACTTTTATAGGTAAAATAATATTATTTGTCAAAATACATCCATTTTTTTTTTTTCAAATGAATGAGATATTGATACCTACTTTTGTTTCACATTTTATCGATAATATTTTTAATGATAAATTTATAATTTTAAAAAATTTCAAAGGGGGGCTAGAGCTCTTCAAAGCTCTTCCAGTTTTGTCTCCCATTGAAAGCGATATATTAATGTATCTAGTACAAGTAAAATTAATTATTGTAATATATCCCTAAAAAAAATCTTCTGATTTAGTAATTTTGTTTTGCATTTTACGTAAAATGAAATTTATTTATAATACCTAATTAATTTTTAAATTTTTTAAAATTATACGTAGCAGTGTATTACAAATAAAATTTTACTTCAATATAATGGTTTATATATTGAAGTAAAATTTCTTGTAGTTATCACACTAACTAAATATATAAATCAATCTGGGCCATTGATCAGCAATAAAAAAAACTGAAGAATAGCTACCTTCATTCTGGGCCGTTGATCAGCATTGACTTTCCTAACCTGGTATCTGATCTTCTTAGAGAAGAGGCGAGTACGCCGCTTTTCTTTGTAGCGCAACACACTAGCCTCTCTTATACCTCCACTTTCTGAAAATAGATCAATCTGCGCCAACCTGGCCTGCCCCAAAAAGTATCAAAACAAAATTAATAAAAAAAATAAATATAAATGAATTTATCGGTCCCTACCACACCTTTTTATCATCTTTGATTTTTAAATTATATATCCAATCATATGCCTAATAATTAGCAAATTAAAAAATTGCTACAAATTCTTTTGGATTTTTTAAAATGTCAAATCAATAGCAAAATGATAAAGCAATTATTATTATGTGAAGCCAAAAAATACTTATTGCTACAAGGAGATCCAGCCACCAACTAGCCCAAAAACTGAATCAAAATCAATTTGAAATAAATTAGAATTCAAATTGATTGGAACTATACTTCAAATCCATAGACTCCAATGTAAAATATATGTTAAAATATTTTAAATTAATCGAAACCGGTCAAGTCTCTGTCAATTCTGATTCATCGTCGAAGAGACTAACCGATTATTTTTCATGCATCAAAAAGACCGGGGAGCCCTAGCTAAAACCCTAAAAAATAACATTTTATTATCTAATATAAGTCCAAGATGAAAATAGAAAGAATAGAAACAACAAAAGCTAGAAAGGTCAGAGCTTAAACAACTATTTCAAGACTTTTTTTTTTTGGGCAATATTTTTCTTTCCCTAGATATTCCAGATATTCAAAACAAGCAAATATTGTCTACTAATTTGGCATTTGACGCAAAATGAGCAATTTGTTTTATTTTATTTTATTTTGTTTTATTTTTTTTTTTTTTTTTGAAAAGAATTTTGTTTTATTTTTTATACTACAATAAAAGCTCGTTGCGACACGCGCCGTCACACAGTTATTTCGCGTTCCATAGTAAAGTCATTTCAAGGCGGGAGATGAGAAACATACAGAGACATCGTTTCCTCCTTCGGCTCCTGAAATTTCATCGGAAAATGGCGACCCACGATCGGACCAAGCGTTCAAAACGTTGTCGTAGTTTAATTTCAATAACAAACTCGAATTCGATTGCGGAATTGAATTCTCATCTATATCCAATTCCAAATTCTTCGATTCCACGACCGGTTTCTCCACTTTCTTTTTCTTTTTCTCACCGGAATTAGCCTTTTGCTTCGGCTTCGGCTTCGGCTTCGTTTTCGAGTTTGAATTAAAATTAGAATCTGAATTCTTATTGTGGTTGTTGTTGTTGTTAAGCCTCGGCGAGATTTGAAGCATATCGACGATTGGAAAACTCCACCAATTTCCTCCATCTCCATTTCTAAAAGCTCTAACTCCCTTTCCCATTCCATTTCCAAATCCAAGTTGGAATCTCCCGCCAAAATGGTATCCCGCTGGATTCCCATACCAGGAATTCCCATCTTTATTGGATCCTTCGTAAGCCTTTTCCTTAGTCACGCTTAGATTCCCCATAATACTATCAATTCCCTCTTCAATTTCCTCATCAAGAATCGACTCAGCATCGAAATCCTCCTCATAACCATCGCAGAATTCCATTGAACTCCCATGGGAATCAAGCTTATCACAAGAACTAACGGAATTCAAGACTTTCGCCTCATTCAAGAAATTGGGTTTTTCATTTTCAATAGGTTGATGGAGTAGAAAACCAGAGTGGTCGTCGAAAACTCGAAAAGGCCAGAGCAATTCAGGAGAGGATTCGTCAAGAAGAAGAGTGTCTTGATGTGGTTTGGTGAATTTGCGCGGATTCGTAAATTGATTGGAAAAGATGTTTGGATAGGCAGTAGAAAGAAGTGCAGCTGCTTCATTGTAGGTTTGGTTTGGTCGTTTTCGTGGAGTGCGAGGTTTTCTTGTGGAAATTGCTAATGGGGAATTGCTGGATTCAGAGATAGTAGAAGATGGAGAAGATGTGTGTGAAGTTCTTGTTGAAGTAGATGGAGATTTCACTATTTCTAATTCAAAACCATAGGTTCTGCCTCCACCTCCACTTAAACAAGGAGAAGACATTTTGGAAATTAAAATAATTTATTAGAAGAGGAAACTCAACTCCCAATTTTGAGAATTTACAGAAAACCCAGAATTTACAGTAATTGCATTTCTTAATTGCAGTTTCAAATATAATTAAGAGATAATTTTCAGAATCAATTCCAAGAAAAACTGGAATTCACTTTTGATGTGAGAATTGGGAATTGGGAATGCAAAACCCTAAACCCTAAAACAGAAATATCCAAGAAAAGTTGTGTGGCTTTAAGCAAAACATAAAAATGAGAAAAAAGCCAAGAGTTTGAGAATATTTTAGAAGAGATGAAAAGCCTAGAATCTTATTTTTTTAAAGGGGGAAAAAATACATAAACTATGTATATTCTCTTTAATATAAAAAAGAAAACCCAAAACCAGTTTCAGAACAAAATTTTCAAGACAAACCAGAACAAAAAGCCACTAAAAAGTTCATCAAAACAAAAATTCTGTTAGAAGAGAAAACAGAACATCATTTTCTCTACTTTAGAAAACCAAAAAAAGGGAATTCCATTCAAAACCCTTGAAAAACCCAGAATTGGTTTTGTCCCCAAAGATAGAAAGGAAAGGAAAGGAAAGGAAAGTTGCCAAACAGGAAGTGACTATTAGTGGTAAAGATGCAAAGAAAGGTTTTTGTGCAGCTGAAGAAATAGGTCAGGAGAAGAGGCAGATAAAAGGAAAAAAGATCCGTTGAGAGAACAGTGTAGAAATAGAGAGTGAGTGAGAGATGAATGGCAGAGATTTCACAAACACAGACAAAACCTCTCTCTCTCTCTCTCTCTCTAGTGTGAAGTGAGGAGTGAGGAGTGAGAAGTTGAGAGAAATGAGAGGAGAACAGAGGAAGAGACAATGCTTGTTCGCTGTTGTTCCTGACGTGGGACCACTTATTAGTTTGTTTTCTTTTTCTCTCCATATTTGCTCTTTTGGCAGTTCAATTATTTTGTTTTGCTCATTTACTTGATTGACCCTGATCAAAGGCAATTGTGTGGCTACCCACCCATGATGATGGGTGGGTATATTCTCAACAATTCATTTAATAGTGTTGCTATAGTTAAATATGATATTTATAAATGTTTTTTTATTGAATAAAATAGTACTATCATGTTATATCTTATTTGTTGTAAGATCTTTTTGATATTTTTTCCGACAAATATAATATAACAGAACTGCTTGTAAATTCACTGAGCTTGGACTAATAAAAAGGCTATTTGAATTTGTTTAACAATAATCAGTAGTCAACAACTTAATTTAGACAAAATTTTACTTTATTTTGAAAATAAATTTTAATATTTTCCTTTTCAATTATGATGTTTTATAGGCGAAATTCAACTACATTATTTCTTTCATAATGAAAATTAAATTAAAAATTTAAAAGTTCATATCATATAGTTCCTGTTAAATGTAAGAGAAAAAAATAAAACATTTGTAATTATGGACAAAAATATTAACCCGTAAGAAGAATTCAAATTCTCCATCGTAGCCTACAAGATGGATTGAAATGGTAACCAGTGGCGGTTACGTAATTCCAACGGTATAAGTGAGGGCATAATGGTCAAGATGATTTATAATCCTAATGATGGGCAAGCATGGATGTTGTGTTTGGATTATCCTGAGTTCTTGTCACCCATACCACCTGCAACTTTCTTCTACATTTTATGGGAAAGGTTTCTTATCCGCTGAGATGGCATTTCCTGATTGGTTGCCTTGGATTTTTTAGGGCTTACATGGCCTGTCCTTTATTGGTCAGAGGATTATCACGTGTATCTAGGAAAAAGGGTGCGGTGTAATCTTGGATCTCAAATAAGGAAAATTGAACCATTAAATCATTGGGAACTTTTTTTTTTTTTTGTTTTTTTGGTCTCTTTTGCCTTCTATGTGTGGTTTATGGTTATCATACGTTGGGCTTATTAGGTTCAATAGCTTGTGATTATGAAATCAATAGATTTTAATGCTTTTTTTTTTTTTTGGCATCTTCATCCCTTTATTTATTTTTTTCATTATATCTATTATTTATAATGTTCTTTGACTAATGTTTATAGTTTGAAAGGACAGATTAACGAAAAATTATTCCCTTTAAAATAGTAAAGAGTTATTTAAACAATTATTTTTATCAAACAAAGACTTATAATATTCTTGAACAATAATTATTTATACAAGAATAGAAATGCATCATAGGAACAACAATCCAAATTGAATTTTGGTAATATCCAAATTAAAAATTCGTTTTGTTCCAAAAATGACAACTGTGGGTATGTATTATGTTATTTCTTTTATTTGAATTTTTTTTTTATATAATTATCAACATAATTTTAAGGATATCAGTACAATTATTGAAATTATTGTCTTGATATTAAAATTACAGAATAATCGACCTAATAACATGATTATAAAAAGGGAAAATTATAATTTTATCCCTATAGTATGCACCAAATTACTAGTCTATCTCTGTATTTTAAAACAATACACTATAATAACATCATAGTTTGATCCGTTACAAACAATTTTTGTCCATTTTATTCCAATTTTTAGTATAAGTCAAAGGAAAAATAAATGGTCAAAAGAGAGAGATAAATTGTTATCCAAAAATAACCTTAACAACTCTCAGCCATCTTCTGCTTTTGCTCTCTTAAAACAAATGTCGTTGCTGCCACAAATGTCGTTGCAGTGTTTAAAAAGTAGGGTTTGGTTTGGATATTGGGGTTGAGATAGATGAGATTTCAAAATCATAGAAGGAAGTGGTGTTGTTATACAAATATTAAAAGGGAGATAGAATTCGGATTGTGCTTCAAAAAATATTGATATTAACAATTTCTAAAAAATTACTCTTTTCATCTTAAAAAGATAGTTCATTTTCCATTTTCACACAGATTAAGAAAATAGCAATTATTATGGTTAAAGGATAATTTTATTCATATAATTTTTTATTATACGCATTTTAAATTACACATAAATAATTATTATATATTAAAATAATAAGTAAAAATTAATTATGATTATTAAAAATAAGATAAAATTTAATATAGACAATTTAATAATCAATTATAATGTAAAAGAGGAAAATAAACTATATTTTAAAACAAATCAAAAAGTAAAAATAGTCTATATTTTTAAGATGAATGAAATATTATATTATTCAGCCACGACTGATGTTCAAAAACTAAATTGGCCAAACCCCAGCTCAATTGATTTGCATCATTCCCGTTAACTTGTCCTTGTCCATTATCTAGTCTATATTAAAGTCATCATCGATTTGACATTTTAAGTGTTGCTGGTTCATCGTGCATCTGTTTATTCTTTTTGCTTAGAAAATGATGTTTTTTCCTCTCTCTTTTACCATCCATTGTTACATTATTTTAAATCTTTGTTGAAGAAATTATTATTGATCTCCTACGGTGGACTCAATCGAAGAAGAAGAAGAAAAAAAAATCCTAACCCTAGAAATTAGATGGCATTTTCTACTTTTAATAGAAATTTAACGGTAAAGTGTAAAATTTAAATGAAAAGACAATTGTGTATAATGTATCAAATTATGAAGATATTGCAGTGTATTTTTTAGAATATAAGGATAAACTAGTAATTTATGGCAAATTACAGAGATAAAATAATAATTTTTTCTTATAGAAACCGTATATATATGACGTAGTGATTAATTCTGAAAAAGATTGATACACGTCAAATCGAGTAGTGCAGTAAAGGATTAATACAATATTAAGCTAAATAAGAATAAAATTAATAACCTTAATCTAATTGGAAATAAATTTAAAAGTTTTAGTTACAAACAAATTCCTTGTGACTCCTAATCTTCATAGTAAGGTTGGTTGCCAAATAAATTCCTTGAAATAACAAAATTCAATCTAGAACTCTAAAGTAAAATAAAGCAAACATAGTTCTGTAGAAGAAAAAACACTTAAATTATAATTAAAAGACTAGATTTGCAATTTTGGATTTGAAGGATATTTGTAGAATTACATATACTAAGCTAAATAGGAATAAAATTAATAATCTTAATCTAATTAAAAATAAATATAAATGTCCTAAACGAAATATAGGTTTAACTATAAACAAATTAGGAGTAACTTAAAAGAATAGGAAATAAATAAAATAAGAATCTAGCTCAAATAGAATGTATAATAACTAAAATTTAAAATTATAATTATTAACTATTATTATAAAATTTTTTATTAATATTTTTTATTTATATAACACGTTTAATCCAAACATTTAGTTACTAATTATTTTTCTCTTAAAAACTAAAAAGTTGAAAAACCAAATTTATAATTCTTCCAAACAATAACAATAATAGATGGTAGAACACAAAATCTCACCCCTAAATTTTGTTACTCTAACTTTTGGCCTAGTGTATCAGAATACTCCGAACTTTACAATTTTTTACAATTCACTTTATTTTGACTTCATTTTATCAAATTTATCCCAATTTTAGCCTTCTGTAGCAATGGCATCCTCATTTATAATTAAAAATGAAATTGCAAACAAAATGAGCATTTACATATATTTTAAAAAATTAGCCGTAAAAATAAAATTTTAAATGTTATTTGAATATCAATTAATATTCACAGCAAATGAGTGATATATTTATAGATTTAGAAATATAATATTTGAGGCATGTGATTCAAATAATTCAAAAATTGTTCCTATTTATTTTTTGGTAAGTAACCAAAATTCATATTATTTAATTATTAATTAGCGCATTTATTTCAAATAGAATTTAATCTATGCAACATAAATTGGGTAATGGAGTTGTTAAAAGTGTCAAATGCTGGTTTGAAAAATGATGAAATACTTTTTTATTTACAATTCTATTTTTAATTGCAATCCAAGGTTGTATCGCTGCAAAATGTGAAAATTATGGTAAAATTGACAGAAATGTCAAATATGCTAAAGTTAGAAAAACATATAAAATTCGGGGTATTATGATATATTAGGCCTTAATTTTTTGGCGCATTCAACTTTTACTTTGACTTATCAAATACTTCAACTTATAAAATTACACGTATTGAACACTTTAACTTGCAAAATCATTTTATTAAATGTTTCCATTTATAAAATTAGATCAATTAAATACCTTATTAAGTAGTTGAATTATTAAAATTATTATTTTAAAAGACATGCTAACTACATATCAAATTAACATTTTGTGTAAATAAAAGCCAAAATCGTAAAAATTATTATCATTAATGCAGAAAAGCTACACAGATGTTACGAAAATTTATAAGTTCAAATATATAAATTCAGATTACTATAAAATTAAAGTCGTAAATTTTAAGGTAAATTTATATGTTTTGCCAATAATAAATAAATGCCAAATACTTTTCATGTCACTATTGGAGCCGTAAAATTTGGCCTCATAAAATATTATATATATATAAAAGGAAAACCAATTTAATTTGCACTGTTTAGTTTTTCTTTCCGAAGAATTCTCCCTATGAATATAAAAAATATCAGACATAGATATTTGCTCCTCTTAATGGCTTTGTAAATATCTGAATTTTGTATTCAAGTGATAGGAGCAACCTGGAATTTGCCGTCATGCTTTATTTTCAATTATCTTTACTTTCTTTTCATTTAAAGATCATTCTTATTTTATTTAAATAAAAGTTCCTTATTATTTTTATTTTTCTATATGTTACATAGAAAAACAATTTATGTATGTACAATTTACTTTGAATAAAAAAGGTGTCTTTAAAGGATTTCACAAATTAATATTATTTTTATACTTATTTTATTATAATTTGATTTAAAAATTAATTATTAATTATTTCATTGTTTTGTTGACTATTAAAATGGAAATCATGGTACATGAAATTTGATGGTCAAATAAATCCTTCACCTTTGAATAATTTAAATATATCAAAAATATTTGTTATACCCATAATATTAATTACTAGATGTTTTGATGTATTTTCATTAATTAAGGTTGAGAATAAAATCAACCTAAGTCAAATTGAATTTATCATTTTAATTTAATTTGGTTCGTCTTTTAGAAATTCAATTCGATTTTGATTTTACTAAAAAAAGTTGAATTTCTTTTCCAGTTTAATTAAATTTTTTTTTTATAAAAAAAATCTTAAAAATTTAAAAATTCGAACTGATTTAACTCAAACATATAGTCAAAATTTAAAAAATTGAATGAAAATAAAATTGATTCCATTTTATTTTAGAAAGAGTTCCAAACCATTCGATTTTCGTTGTAAAAAACAAATTTCTTTATTCTTTTCAACTTACAGATTTCATATCCATAAATTTCTTACTCGTCTATTTAATTTTTGATTCTGATATGTAAATATTGGAAAAATAAAATTACTATTAAAAAAAATAAATAGTGAAAAATCTATTGGAATAATTAAAGTAAGGTGAGAATTTGAATTGTGAAGAGTTGGCAGCCATATCCTGTTTTACTTTTGGCCACAAACACAAGGGTATATAATGACAAATTGACAGTGCCTTATCCCGTAGAAGGGGTGAGTTGGAAATCTCACAGCCTTTAGAATTGCATAGCCACTTGAAAATAGGCATAGCCACTTGAAAATAGAACTTTCAAGTCACATGTGACTAATGTTTGGTACACCTATTTCTATTATAGCTATTCATATGTTATCTTGTTCATCTTAATATTTAGTGACATTATAGAGAACGAAAGAAAATTATTTTTATAAATATACTAAAGCCACAGGAACAGTGAATTTTTCTATTTTGACAATTTTGCCCTGATGTTCATGCTTCAGTTGGGCTACAAAGCCCAAAAACAAACAAGCAAACTGTTTAGTACCTAGAACATGGAAACTGACTTCGAATTGTTGAGCTGTGTTTTTCTTTTCTTTTCTTTTCTTTTTTTTTTTTTTTTTTTTTTAGCTGACATTTATATGAAGAACGAAAGAAAATATTTTATAATTTAAATTACTAAAGCCAACAGGGGAACAGTGAATTTTTTCGTATTTGGACAATTTTGCCCTGATTTTTCATGGCTTCAGTTGGGCTTACAAAGCCCAAAAAACAAAACAAGCAAACTGTTTAGTACTATGAACATGCGAAACTTGACTTTCGAATTGTTGAGCTGGTTTTTCCTTTCTTTTCTTTTCTTTTTTTTTTTTTTTTTTTCCGCCTCTTTTCCGATCCATTGAAAATAAGTTTTTTTTTTTTTTTTTTTTTTTTCCGCCTCTTTTCGATCCATTGAAAATAAGTAATTAGAGTGTTATCACACATGGGTTGTGAACGAAAAATATAATAAGAATATAAGTGATGAAGGTGACCATACAATTGGTTTGTGGCTAGTGATTTTGACTTTATCACAAGCCCAAACTTACTTTACACTATCAATTCTTCCTTTTGATTCAAAATTGTAACATGGGACAAGAGTAAGGATGATTTATCCAATTGGCTTGTGAAACCTTGAGTTTTCAAAATATATTTCTTAATAAGGCATTTAGTCATTTTAGTGTTTTTATAATTTCAGGCCGTTTTTGACATGGTTTGAGCAATTTTATTGTTAGATAGATGTTTGACTAAATGTTGCCTCTCAACCTAACCGTTTTATCCATTTGTCATCTCATACTTTTCGAATAACATATTACGCTCTTGAACTTGTCATTTTTCTAACAATTAAACACCTTGCTGAAGCCACCATAGCATTTGCATGATTGCAATTCAATACTCAAAATTAATTCATATTTTTAGGACGATACTCACAAGTATACGAGACTACTGCAAGATTAAGTGAGTTAACTAAGGTCATCTCTCAAGGAGTCACAAATGCAATTTTGAAACTAATTTTATGATTAAGATATTGAATTAAAAAAAAATTCTACTAACAAAGTTTGTTATTTTGAGAAAATTAAAATAGAAAACTTCAAAAGAAATCACAATTAGAAAAATACTAAGAAAAAAAACCAATAACCAAAAATCAATTTATTGAGTACTAAAAGCAAAAACATTTTAGGGTATAGACGCTTAATTTTTGCCCCAAAGGGCTCAGTGATGATAACTTTTTTGCATAAAACTGAATCGAGACATTCGATCGCTCTGATTTTTGGACTAATGGTCCATAGCTAAGATAATTGAGTTGTTTGACCGTTTTTACTTTTTTGAGTTTCCAGGGGTTTCTCAGTGAAACCGGCCCTGGGAAGTGCTTCGGGTCTACCTGACATGCCTCCCAGTGCGCCGCCTCATTTTGTGTGCCACCCAGTCCGACTTAGTAAAAATAAGCTCGGCTCGATTTTAGGGCCCACCAGTGGCACTTGCCACCTAAGCCCTAAAATAGGGCAACATATTCCCCATTTGGCTATAAATAGAGCATTGGGAAATGTTCAAGGGAGGAAGGTTTTTAGTTGCTTAAGGGAAACTCTTGTATTTTCAAAACTTAACCTTTAATTTAAGAAAAACTTGTGTTTTCTCTTAGATTCAAGGGTTTCATTCAATCATTAAGAGAAAAATGTCCCTGGTTCAGTGATTAAAAAACCCACAAACACTCAAATTAAACTTATCTCGGATTCATTGATTCAAGTTTAAAGCTTTTGGGTCATTGATTCATTTTTCCCTAAACTCTTTCGTCTTCTTCAAGATAAGGTAACCTCTGAGAGCCTTTTAACCTTTCTTCATCTTTTTCTTACTTTTGGTGTCTTAAAAACACCTTCTTGTTACTAGTTGGGAGAGTCATCTATGATCAACCAGAAAGCTTCTGACTCCGTCAGAAGTGGCACACGCCACTTCTTTCTCAATTCGAAAACCCTAAAACCACGATTTTGCATCTTTTGATCAGGGAAAGGTTCGCACACCACTATGTGTGGCGCACGCCACTTCTAATGTGGCACACGCCACTTCTAGTGTGGCGCAGACCTTCATTTCAGAGGTCCAGAGCACAAAAATCAATAAAACGATCCAATTTGGAGTTCCTTTGAGTCAAGGATAGAGCTATCTCGCTCTGAATTGTGAAAATGACTCATTACGGACTAAATAAACATAAAATCAATAAGAAATGGGCAGTGATGAGTGTATTTATTCATAAACCATGATGAACATCATGATTTGAACTCAGATCTTGTTTAACCTTTAAATTAATGCTTTTAGTTTACTCTTCCTTTATCTTGAACTCAGATCATCTTATTTAAACCTTTAAATTAATACTTTTAGTTTACTGTTCCTTTATCTTTTTGCATTTTAAATTCCAATTTTTTCTTTTATGCACTTTAGTTTGTTGCTATGTAGTTTTGTTAATCCAACCCATTTAACAAATAGCTTACAATATATCAACATCAACATTCATCACTTTATCATTATAAATGAATGTGTGTGTTTATTTAATTTTGTTGATGTATTTATATTTTGTGATTATGATTGTTTGTCTAATTTTATTTATTGTTAGTAATTATTAAGCTTGATGTAAATAACCTTAACGGGTTCTATTATTGCATGTTTGTAATTATTAATGGGTTGAGAAATTTTAATGGATTAATGGGTAGATTGTATTAATAGGATATTGGTTGTAACTCCATTTCTCCTCCCTTAGGGCTTTTGACAAAAATAATGCTCTCCCAAAAACTATTTCCCAATTTAATGCCATTTCAAAATTATTTACCAATCTAATGTTTATTCTGACATGGAGAGAGAGTGTTGCGCTGAAACCATCAACTTAATTGGTGGTTTCAATGCAATAGAAAAAGTAATCTCGTACTGACAAGCAATCATCAAAAAGTAGTTATATGAATGAACAATAATTTTTATTTTGTATTGAGACCATCAATCCAATTGGTGGTTTTAATACAAAATAAAAATTAGAAGTTGTCAATTTGCTTTTTCACTATCACACACAATTCGTTTGGTGGTTTTAGTGTAGTTATGGGATGTGACCACTAGTAAGTAAAAAGTATACGGAAAAATAGTATTTTGTTAAGAGTCCACCAGATTAATTACTTTCGATAAAAAATTATTTGTTGACTCCAAATTTTTTTTCACCGGAACACACACATGATCTAGTAGTTTTGGTGCAATACGTTTGCATTAACACCGCTGGTCAATATATTGGTGTCGGTTCCTTCCTTTATTTAGACAAGCCATGACATTCGGAAGACTTAACATGATTAAAAAGGTGCAGGGAATCAGGGAATCGATTCCTTATAGCTACTACCTATCCCTTATTCACTCTTCTCAACTTTTCTTATTAAAGAGGAGTTCACAATATCACAACACTCACAATATCACAACACTCAAACTATCACAACACTCGATATCACTTAAAATTCGTTCAAGCACAATAGTTCAAGCATATTTCACTGAAAGAAGAAAGAAACCTAATCAAAAAGGTGTTGATAAAGGTAAATAATTTTTATATTTTATTTTTTTTGGTTTTAGTAGAATTTTTAATTTAATTTCTAAGTAACTAATGCCTTGTTAATTTTTTTGCGGATTAATTTTTTTCTTGTATGGAAAAATTGGTGTTTGGGCTTGGTTTTTCCATTGTAAAGGTATATTTATTATATATAAATATAAATAAATTTTAAACTTATTAATAAATCAAAAATATAAAATTTCTAAAAATAATAAAAGTTCATAAATATTTATTTGGTAGAATAAACATGAATATATATATATTTTTGTTAATGTGAATATTTATATAATATAGACCATTGCTATATTAAAATAATATTTTTAATATTATATTTCTAGAATAAGTTTTCTAGTAGATGTGAATATTTCTAGTATATTTTTAGTGTACGTTTCTAGTATATGATTTTAATATATTTCTGATATATATTTCTATATATTTTTCCAGATGCAGTGAATATTTGTATTTATAATATTTTTAGTATATATTTTTAATATATTTCTAGTATGTATATATTTTTAACAGATCTGTAGTATATATTGTGAACATTTATGATATTTATATAATTTTTACTTGTAATAATTTCTTATTGATTTCTATATATTGATTATAATAGTAGATCATAATAATAATATTAATGTCTCGAAAAGTTAATCATATACTAACAATGTGCTATATATTTTTGGTAAATTAATCATATATTAAAAATTAATTATAAATTAATTACAACTAGAGATTTTTTTATTCGAATTTTTTTTTTCATAACCCAGAAAATACAAAATAATATGATTTGGAGTTAAAAATTTAATGAAATATTTCTATTTATTTTTATTCTTTATCATTGATAGATGGTTGCTTTTGTTGCACGACCAAGACTTATTAAAGGACGTTTTGTTAAGGAGAAGGTGAAAGAAATGTGAAAAGAACTATATGAGTTTAGATTTAATCTAGTATCCAAAAAGCTGCAGGACCATGTGATCAAAGTTAAAAAATAATTAATTTGTCACCGAATCAGAGAAGTGAAAGTTGTAATTAAAACAATACCTATGCTCTATTTATGTAGGATAATGACTATTTGGGTTCGCGATAATGTGACTACGTATAATCAATTTATGTTTGCATTATTAATTGACATCGTTAAAATATATGAAAGCGTGTTAAATGAAGTTTTTATTAATATGCCCATCTCCTAAGAGATTTATTGTAAAAGGAAGAATGTAAGGATTGCATGTAATATTAATAACTTCATATGAAGTGTATTTCTAATAGATTGCAGTAAATTAAAATTATGAGTAATATTATATTTACTAATAAGAATTTATTTTATTGATTTAAATAAAAATTAAAAAAAGTGAATTTATTTTAGCTCATAAAGTGAATAAATTGAGTAATGTAACTAATACCGTATTACTATTGCAAATATAATATTTTATTGGCTGATTAGGAAATGTAAGGTACATTATTTAATTTTATGCCATTTTTTTAAATTTTTTTTTTAGTTTAGTTATGTGATTTTGATTTTCTTTAAATCTACACACACACTATTTATGATATCTGTTGGTATCTAGTGCTGTTCTGAAAATCGAACTGGACCGGCTAATTTTTTTAATTTTGGGCCTCTTTATTTCTAAACCCTAATTCCTAATATGTTAATTAAAACAATTAAATTGCCTAACACATGTGAAAAATAATAATATATTTAAAAATATTATATATAAAATCCGATTGAACCGTATTGAATAATAAATTTTGCTGTTATTTCCATAATTAACCTAAACTCTAAAAATCTAGACCTTAGAACTAATCCTTAAGCCATTTTGCTTAACCCCTAATATTAAATCTTAACCCTAAACCCTAATTATAACTATAATCATAATCATAATCATCATTTGGACTATGAGTATTGCTCTACACTTGCCTTAAAAAGGGATCTTGTGTATCAGAAAGTGTAAATAATGAGGATATTTCTTATATAACCTACTTTAAAATGATGTATATATGAGGAATGTTGTGAATTTATAATATATTTCATTTGTGGGCACCAATGATAATTTTATGTATAAGTCAAGGTACAATGTCATCTAACATATCCTTCATTATTCATTGGGAGGTACAACAACCTTTGGGTTGTCGGGTTTTGGATACGATGTCGCAAGTCGGACCTCGATGTCGTAACATCAACGGCCAACTTTTAATGAGATGCTTGCTAAGATAAAGTTTGCCATCAGTATAAGAACAAATGAGAAAATTGCTCACATTTTTTATAAGAATCAAGTATTTGGGCAAGGAGTAATGTACTGGTCTTCGTTACTTATCAGAGATGATGACAATGTTGAAGTGATCATAAACAATCTTCATAGTTTTCAAGGTTATAGACATGCTGAACTATATGTAGAGGTTGAGATATTGACCAATAAATCACTTAATTTAATGCATAGCCCTGAGACTCAAATTGGCATGGGATTTGGTGATATGTTGGATGATGATGTTGGGACTTCAATGCAATACACCCAATTTCCTATGGAGGACTACCATCATCAGCACATGCAAAACTTCTCAACTATATTGAGTCTTATACAATGTAGATTTCCTATGAGTGTTTACAATGGTGATGAAGTGGGTCCCAACAAACCAAGTAAAAGGGCCTTAGCAGATCATGAGCCTACGTTCGATGATCTAGTTGTTAACAATAACTATATGTCATGTAAAGATGATGACGAGGACGAAGATAAGGATTGTGATTTATTTACTCTGATGGTGATGATGATGATGTAAGCATTGAATTAAATGTTGCGACTTCACAAGGTGGTAGTATTAAACATATGCCATAACAACAGTTTATCTTTCCATCATCACATTATAGCCAATTAGATGTTGACTATACTGAATAACAAATAGGAAGTCCTCATATGTACTTGACTTCAGATGAAACTTTTGAGTTCAGAAAGGTTTGATTTTTAATTTGAAGGAAGATGTTAAGCTGCAGTTAAAAAATTCTCTATTAAAAATAATGTTGCATATAAAGTTGAACAATCTCAGCCAAATTATTGGGTTACTAAGTGTATGAAGTTTGAGGAAGGTTGCCCACGGAGGTTGCGGGCGATAAAAAAAAAATCTAAATCATATTGGATAATTACTGTTTATAAAGGATTGTTAGGATAGCAATATTTCTATTGCAGATTTGTAGAGATTCACAATCTGACTTATTTCATATTCAAATATTTCAAGTTAAAATGTACCCAAAGTTATAGCAGTTATAGTTTGTTTTTCCTGTATAAATATGCTTTGTAATTCATATATTAGCAATACGGCATACAAAGATATTTCCAAGAATTTACATGGTATTAGAGCCTTCTCTTTTTTCTTAATTCCTTAATTATGTCTTCTCCAAGTAGTATTTCCTCTCTTTCTTCATTATCTTCTTGTACCTATCACGCTTTCTCCATTAAGTTGAATGCCAAAAACTACCTTGCATGGAAAATACAATTTACCCTGTTACTTAACTACCAAAAGCTTCGAGGATTTATTGATGGTAATACCCCTTCACCACCGAAAACCATTACCAACCTGAAACTTCCACCACAACTATCAATCCTGAGTATGACTCATGGTTCCAAAAGGATCAAATGCTAATGTTATGGCTTCTCCCATCCCTAACCGAAGAAATCTTTCCATACATCTCTGGTTTAACTTCTCCATATGATGTTTGGAAAGCCTTATCCTAAGCCTTTGACTATATGTCCCAAAACAGACAATTGCAAATTCACATTGCATTACAGGAGCTGAAAAAAAATGAACTTACTGTGGCTGAATATGTTCATCAAGCCAAATCTTTGGCTAATTAGCTGCAAGTTGCTGGTCGTCCTATATCCTCCGCAGAATTTAATACGATTATGTATCGCAATATTGGCCTAGATTATCATCTAATCATTGCAGCTCTTAATATGTGGACTGGACTAGTCTCATTTTATGAATTATATGGGCAGTTTGTTGCTCATGAGATTCTTATCAAGAATACACAAGAACCCCCTATTGCTAATATGGTTGTACGACCTAACAATTCTTCACCACCGCATCTACCTACACCACCTAGACCTGCCAACTCTAATTTCACCCAAAGAAGACAATTTTCTGGTGCATCCACTATTGTTTTTCATCTAAGAGGACCTTGTTAAATATATGGCCTTAAAAATCATACTGCAGACCGATGTCACTGTAGATATAATCCTAATTTTCTGGTCCATGTCCTACAAATTATCCACAAGCCAATTATAATTCATATGGACGCTCACCATCTTTCTTTAATGTCACAAGACCATAGGCAATTGGATTCTACTTTAATAAGTGGTTGCATTTTGGGGATGATTGGGTAGAACCGCAGTTAGGTGTCAATGTCATTATTGAAGAAATTCTAAATCGATTTCATTTCGAGATTTCTTACAAGAAAGCATGGTATGCAAAGAAGCTTGCCTTGGCTCGTGTCGTTGGTAATTGGGCAGACTCCTATGCCAAGTTGCCAATGTATTTTAATAATCTTCGAACTTATAATCCAAGAACTATGACAGAGCTAAAAGGTGGAACATTTAAATAATCCTTTGAAGAAGATGTTTAAAAGGGCTTTTTGATCTTTTAAGCCTTGTATTGATGGGTTGAAGTATTGCAAATCGATACTTCTTATTGCTAGAACATTCTTATATGGAAAATTTCAATAGACACTATTGATTGCAAGTTTAGTGGATGGCAATAACAAGTTATTCCCAGTTGCCTTTGCCATTATTGAGGGAGAAAATAAAAATAGTTGGAGTTGGTTCATGCCCTGCTTAGGACAACACATCACTGATAAACATGGTATATGTGTGATATCAGATCGCCATATTGGTATTACATCTGTTATGCGACATGAATCAATGGGTTAGCAAGAACCACTTGTGTATCATCGTTATTGTCTCTGCCACTTTGCAAGCAACTACAACACGACGCATAGGAATATTGCAATTAAAAGTTTAATATATAGCGCTGGTAAGCTAACTCTGACAATATCATGCATTATAGTATTAATTTGATGGCCAACTATATTTAAATATTTCTAATGGATGTAGGGAACACATATCAACTTCGAAAGTTTAACAAATGAATACAAGTTATCTTTGATAAGGATGAGCCTTCTTTTAATTGGGCGATGCTATGTCCATTTGAGAAATGGACATTGGCACATGATGGTGGCAGAAGGTATGGCAACTTAACTACTAATGTTGTAGAGTGTGTGAATAGTGTATTTAAGGGGGTGAGACAAATGCTACTAACCTAAGTTGTGCAGCATACATTAGCTCGGTGTGTTAAGTACTTTAAAGAAAGGAGGACCCTTAATGCACATGAACTTTCTGATGGAAATACTTACACTCTAGAATGCATAAAGTCGATGTTTTGTATAACCACATATTATTACTATTTCTAATGAATCTAAAGATACCTAGAGTGTGGTAGACCACTGAGTTCTAAGGATAAAATCCTATAAAGAAAAATAACAAATAATCAAAATAGTACTATTCCAAAATCAAATGAAAAGGATCAAGATTTCAAATCATGAAATTCTTATGAAAATAAATCCTGAACAAATTCATATACTCAAAACTCAAGAAAATTTGAAGAATCAATAATTTTTATCAGTGTATGAAAATATATTGAATTGCAACAATAATTAATTATTTTCTTACCTATATTAATGCACTTGATATTATGAAAAATAATGAAGATATTAAACCTCAATATGTTGAAGAACGTTCACAAATATATAATTGGCCAAAATAGAAAGATTCAATTCAATCATAATTGATTTTACTTAAAAAATATAAAGTTTTTTTATACTTGTAGTCCATATATCAAACGGTATGACACCAATTAGATATAAATGGATCTTTGTGCAAAAATGAAATGAACATATAGTGAAATTATAAGATATAAAGCGCACCTTGTGGCACAAGGTTTTTCGCAAAGACTTAGTATTGATTATGAAGAAATATATCCTCTTGTTAGAGATGCAATTACACTGATGCCTCATCAGTTTAGCGATACATGAAAACCTTGGATCTATTTAATGGATTTAGTTACAGCTTATCTATATGGCATACGTGATAGTAACATTTATATGATAATCCTTAAAGGATTTAAATTGCCTAAAACATATAAGTCAAATATCCATAAAATATATTTAATTACATTATAAATTTTTGAATAGTTTAAAAAGAATTTGGCACATTGTAACACCCTGATTTTGGAACTATAAGTGATAGCATAATAGATTAAGAATTAGTACCAATTAGGGTTTTGCTATTGTTTTCATTCTAGATAAGCGATTTTTTGAATTATGTAGTTTGTTGTGTGAATCATGCATTGCATTCATAGTTTTCATAAATTGATTACTTGAATTGAGAAGTTGTGATTTCAAATTTTAATTTTGACTTAATTTGAAGTTTAATTTGAAATTGAGGGAAAACCATTGATTTTGATTTAATTTTGACTAAAGGCTTTCAATTAAATGATTTTGGCCTGCTTAAATTGATTTTACCTTATTTTAATTGTAACAACGTAACTTTCTAATTGTAAAACAATTTTTAATGGTAAATTCGCTATTTTACTAAGCCTATGTGCCAACCTTGTATTTAATAAATAAATAAATATCTAAAGAAAAATTAGCTAAACCTAGGCGCATAAGAGAGGCTCCTTCTCTCTTTATGTGCCTCACTCTTTTCTTTTCTCTCAAGAGAGGCTGAAACTCTCTTCCCCGAATCCTCCATTAATTTCTTTTTTCTTTATGACAAAAGACAAGAAATTAACCATAGATTATTATATTATATTAGAGTTGTGAAGGTTTTTTGCAATCAATTGAAGAAAAACATAAATTTTGGTATTTTAATCACGAAATTTGCTATTGGTTTTAACTTTTGATCTTTGAAATTTAATGTGTTATTAATTTTAACATTCAATTGATGTAGTCTTAGTGTTTAATTGCATGATTATAGTGTCAGATTGAATTATTGATATGTGAATTGCATTTAATTTCAATTAGAAAAAGGCAAACTTTCAAAGCTTGATAAAGGCAAGAAGAAGGCAAATTGAGTGCAATTGATCATTTGATTGTGCAATTATAGGTTAGTACTTAAAATATGTGAAGTTAATTTTGATTTTGAACAACTATTGAGTTTAAGGTTTTTGAGAGCAATTTGGGGATTTTGGTGTTTTGAATGCAATTAAATGAAATTGAGTTAATATTTGGGCTTTGTGATGTTGAATGAATGTGTTATTAAGGAATTGAAAAACAACCATTCCTAGAGGTGTTTTCTAGGAGAGGCTGAAGCCTCCATGCATGTGTAATGGTGTGTTTTTATGATTTTGTTTGATGATTCTTATATGAGTTGTTTTAGTAGGTGTTAGTGATGGTGTATGATAAATATGGTGATCAAATTATGTGCTTAGACCTAAAATTAAGTAGTGATCGAACCTATAGTCATGTGTAATTGAAGTTTATGTTTGATTTTGAGAAATTAAAGGCATGTTAGTTGAATTAAGTGCTTAAGTGATGCAATAGCGTGCTAAGAGTGAATTTTAATTCTAGTGTTAGCCGAAGCTATGTGTGTACAAGTTAATATGTTTAATTTATGTTAGCTAGGTATATGGATGATGATGACATTGTGAAATTAGGTGATGAACTATAAGTATGATGTTGACTAAAAGTATGTGTTAATGAAGGGTTAGGTCTTAACTCTAATTAGGGGTTTTTGACCTAATTGACCTTGAGTAATTGAATGTATAAAATGTCTAATTGATGTATGAACTGATTAGTGGTAAGCTTAGTTGCATGATTGAATGGAAGTTAGTCTAGGAACCTAAGTTGGTCGAACCTATGCATGTTCCCTCTTAGGCAATTAAACAACTTAAGTTGAATGTTATGCATGTATGACTTCATTAATAAACTTAATTGACTAATTGTGTGACTAATTGCATGTTAGAAGTCAATTAGGGTTTTAAATTGGCA